GCCCGGCCAGTATCCTGAGAATTCTTACCTCCATGCATAACTCATTCCTGGAGAAGATCAGGCAAACTCAACCCATTCTTTATGGCCCAGGTAAATACCTCTTCCTCCAAGCCTACCCTGACTGCTTTAGCCCATTGAACTCTCACCTCTTCTCTCTTTATATGACCTATACCACTCATTTGCACCTGAGTGTGGACTAGCTGGCCCTTCTTTGGACATCTGCCTTGTTTTCTCAGGTAGGCGATGAGCTCCTTAGGAGCAGGACACAGGTGTTTCCTGCCCCCATGGTGTTTCCTCTATACCTGGGGCTCAGCAGACTTGTCAAAATCCAATTCAGAGTGGTGGGCACTGCTGATGAATATTTCATCACTCTTAGAGCAAGGATGGAAAATTGAAATTTGCAGGGGTAAAAGTGAGCACATAAACATTGATGAAGCTGTTTGCAAAATCCTATTGTTCTACTATGATGGATTAGTGAGAGAACTTTGCACCTGGGTCAAGATCAAGGGGATCCTTAGTGCTACCTTTGAAGTCCCAGCTCGAGTCCTCCTCCTGTCTATAACCTGCTGCTTTTGCTTTGGGCCTCGATTTCTTCATGTGTAAGTTGTGGTGCTGGATCAGCAACTAGATAATAACATCTCTCCCATTTCTGAGCTTCTGTGACTGATGATTCTAAGGCACAGGTCACATTTAACATTATAGGAGACCCGGGGGAAAAAACAAGCAAGGTGACACAGGATGTGTCAGCCTGGGCCAGGTGATCTATTTGGGCAAGATTAACAGAGCCAGGCATGGACATGCACTCCAGGACAGACACTCCACCAGCTGCCCAGACTTGAGCTGAATCAAACAGTCCAGTCCTTAGCGGCCCCAGATAAGGTCTTCGAGTCTCCCTGAGCCACTGACAGACAATGGCTATGCCATGCCAGTTATAAAACAAACCGTGGCTTTGTTTTGAAGAGAAATAAAGAGGCCAATTCAATTAGTGATTTGCCAACAATAACTGAGCTGAGTTCTAATACTTGGTGATTTAAAAAACCATCATGTTAAAAAGACCACCTCATCCCCAGTGACCCTGCAGGCCAGGGACTAAGATGACTTGGTTCGTGCAGCTCAGCCCCCTTACCCGTTTGGGGCTGTGCCAGCCACTGCCAGTGTGAACATCTGATATTGGAGTTGCAGACTTGGCTGGACCCCTTTAACCACATTCCCTCCTGACATTATCAAAGACCCCAAGTAAAAGAGCTCACCAGGCCCCTCAGACTTTGTGACCCATATGCCCAGTAGCGGAAGTTGGGGTCCGTTCTGTTTGAGGCATGGCTGTGTGCTCTTTGATGAATGCTGTTTTCAAGCTGAGGCCCGAGGCCTAGATCATTGTTCTGAGAGTGTGTCCTGGACCAGCCACACCAGCAGCACTCGGGCTGCTGGCTAAAAAGACTGATGCTGGGGGCCCAGCCTCTCCCTTATCTGTGGATTGAGACCTAAGGTTTGGCATTTTAACAAGCTCCTAAGGTGATTCTTAGATCCCATGATGATTGAGAACCACTGCTCCAGCTTCTTAAATGGCTTCCTAAGAGTTATTCTTGTGAATCCAGAAGCTGCCTGCAAATAGAAGGAACTTGCCACTTTTGATCAAGTGAATTCTTTAAAGTGGTACAAGTCTTAGAAAATATTACAATCTGTTTCTTCAGAATCCACAGAATACTGTGTTTTAATACCTCATTTTAAGTAATCAAAAGAATTGCTGGAAACCAGGCATAAAGAGAATTTGAGCAAAAGATGATCTATTTTCATATCAGAAATAATCTTGGGAGACAACAGGCACAAACAGTTGTCATAAAACATGCTCATCTGTCACTTGGAGGAGAGGGTGGCATGGAGACAGCTGCCTGAGGTCTCGGAATGACAGTGTGTGGAATTGTTTATTCCAACAGCCACTGCAGCCACACCCAGCACTGCTACCATTAGTGACCTACAGCCATTCTGCTTGCTCATAGACCCTTGTTCCAAACTATGTTCCTTCATGTTACACACCTCTGAGTCCCTACTAGATAGTTAGGGGTTACCTGAATACCCCCCCAAGCAGAGAGAAATCTGAACTGAGAGAGCCCTGAAAATCCCATTGATCCTCAGACTTGTCTCTCATTTTTACATTCTTTTCTTTTTTTTAGAGATGAGGCTTGTTATTTTGCCCAGGCTGGTCTTGAACTCCTGGCCTCCAGTGCTCCTGCCTCGGCCTCCCAAAGAGCTGGGATTACAGGTGTGAACCACCATGGCTGGCCTTTCGCATTCTTTTCTTACTAAAGGAATTTGTCATGGGCCCAGCCATCCGGGTAGGTCTAACAAAAAAAGGAACTGAAATCAAGCCATAAGAAGTGCCTCCTGGAAGAGAGAGAGAGCATGATTGTTCATACCTGCTCCGAGTTTAGGGCCTCCCAATACTTCTGCTGCAGAATAAAAAGAGAGACAGAGAAAGCGTTGGACAGATTTTGCCACCATCACAGAGCAGAGCAGAGCTCAGTGCCAGCCCGTCTGCTCAGTGAGCCAGAAGACAGGCCCTCAGATGGTTGGGGGACGAAGGGACAGCTGACTTCAGCCAAGCAGCAAGGCAGCAGCTATTAGCAGTTACAATTTAGTTAAATGATCAATAGCATAATTGTGATAATTATGAAGGGCTGCAGGTCCTGAGAAAAATTATAATCTATAGAGATTTAAAAATTACTATTATTAGAAATTATTACTATTAGGAGTAGCAGTAATAATAATAAATCTCCCATTTATTAACCACATGGCTGAGATGATTCATCTCAAACCCATAAAACTAAGAAAGAGAGTTGCCAATAAAATCCCCACCTTGCAAATACGGGGTATTTGCTACCAGCCAAGACTCATTTGTAATCAGCGTTTACTGCATGGTTGGTTCCTCTCCAAACCTCAAATATGTCTGACTCAAGTTCTTGAAGGGCAGGCACCACAGTCTGCTCTCGTTGCACCAGCGCCTCATGCAATGCCTGGGAGATGTGGATTTCTGACATAGAGATATGAATCTTCAAATGTCTGTTATATTGATTTGTGAATATCTATTAAATTGAATGGCTGCCAATCTGAACAGG